CCCATTTCATAGGAGTTAGAGCCGGTCACGGCCGGTAACTTGTAGTAACACTCAATTTTATTCTAGCAATATCCTTCTCCAAACACACTAATCATTGCACTTCGCACCCCAACTCAAAGTACGCGTATCGTGTCCTTGTGTTCCGAAGGTTTGTCGATAAAAAAAACGACGCAGTTCCGAGAATGAGGTCAATCTTTTTTTCACATCGATTTATATTTCCCCAATTGATATGTCTAAGATTTTGAAGGACAATATATTTGTTTCTAAAGTGACAGCAGAGAGACAACTGGAAGTCTTTAGGCTAAGAGCCGTAGCAGTGGGCCCACTAATATCGGCAACGGTACCTAATTAACAGTCTAAAACGTGATGTATAGTACATTTATTGCGAAGTGCAAAAATACGTGATCGCGAAAAGCGGTTTTTTTTTTTTTTTTTTTTACTATTGGCTGCAACCTTATCGAAACATCTGCAAATGCTAACGGTAATATAAAAACTATTAGATATTCTCGATTTACAGAATGGCCCGCTCTTTTTGTATTGCGTTGCTCCGATGACCTGCTAGGAGAGGGGCTTCATACAATTGGAGAGACTAAGTAAAAATAGGGATCATCACATCCAGCGCGTTTTTAAGTGAGATTCGAAATATGTCTGTGCCCGGATTTGAGTCAAAACTGTCACGCGTGTTTATCGGGGTAAGCGGACAAACATTATACCATCATCCTGGCAACAAGTTTTAACAGTTGCGAGTGAAGGGTTGATATCATAAACCAATTCGAATCTACGCCACTACACAAAATGTTTGTCACAGGGATTTCTTTGCGGAAAATACACGTACGCTATAAATATGTTAATCCACTAGTGGCAGCTAGTGAGATGCGAGCAAAAACCTGAACCGATTTCTATAGGACCGACAGTAAGTTATATACAAACGCTAACAGTCGCTTACTATGGTTCCACAGCGCTGCTTTGACTGGTTATCCCCGTGATCGTTTAATGATATTAGGTCTGTTCAGAAAAAAAGCTGCGAATCCCGGACTGGCTCGTGGTATAGCTCAGCTATGTGATGCAATTAGATTCGGACGTAAGACTCGAAAGGTCACGCATCGAGTCGCCTATTGTAATGCTAACGATAACATAAATACTTTCATTCAATTCAGATTCTAAAAACTAAGAAAAAAAAAAAACAAATTTAGACCACTTTCCTGAGATCAGATCCTGTGACCCTCGAATTAAAAAGACCTACTATTAGCTCGACCTTTAACATAAGGGCCAAGTTTCTGCTAAACAGCTCAAGCAAAGCCTAATTAAACATTTTAAAAAATAATTCCACTTTGATATAAGGGCCCCTTCATAATACAGTGTCTTGATAATGCGTACAGATTTACCAGCTACAAAAAAGCAGCGAGTGAAAAGCTGCAGGGAATAGCAGCGACCGATTTCCGAGTGTTTCAAAGAAGTTTCACCGATCGGTTTGCATAGTCTATTTGGCCTTCGAATACAACTCGATAGTCGTCCATCACGGTAGGTAAATGTCAAAGCACGTCGCGATCAGTCGATCAACGAGTCGTTTACAATAAGAAAATCTAGGCCCTCCCTTTAGGTAAGCATGGCTATAAACGTAGGCCTCTACGTATCGATCACTAGGAGGTATGATCAATGGTATCTAGAAAGATGAACGCTTTTGGAATTGCTGAGAGTTGAATTGAAACGAATATCAAGTCGGCAGGAGAGGATTACTTGCCGTCTTTACTTGCTCTCCAGAGAGGCACAACCCTTTTCTATCGCTTTGTAATGGCTGCACGAGAAAGTTCTATTTGACATAACTGGCTCCTCTTCTATATTACCTGTTCAAATGCGTTAAGCACAATATCTGAGAACACTGCAGCACGACATCTTGGTCCACAATAATAAAATAGATGTTACAAACTGTTTTAGGTGTTTCTTTGTAGGTTGCTACTTGCTAAGCCGGCGGTGTACGCCGTCATTCTGATAGGTCCTGATTTGGTTGCTAAGTGCTAAATATTTGTTTCTTATTAGCATTTTGGCGGAGGCATCTTTAGAAACGATCTGAGGTGTTCGTAAACGCAAATAGAAAAAAAAAAAAAAAAAAAAAAAGGACTGTCTTAGATTCGTCATAAGCCGCAAAGCTACTGGCAAACACGGCAGTCGTCACAATAAACTTAATTGTTTTGTTTTTCTTCGATGAGACCATAAGTTCCTCTAGCATAAATTGAAATAAGTTAAAATCACAATATATCTAACTGCTACATTCGGCTAAACTACGATGAAGGTCGATTGTGCCCTGCTCAACGTATCTAAGTTGTGAAAAATACATAACATAAAATATTCGTAGTCAGGGTGTAAGAAAAAATTCCAATACTATGGTTATTTGAACCAAAGCAAAGTTCACTGGCAGACATGAGACTTGAGTATTTCTTTATTCCACATCATGTATAGATTTTTCTGTATACCTGAAATCTAAACGCTAAAAAACCTTCTTCATTCTAACAACAAAAACCGTTGTTAAGGTCAAGAGGGATTCACTTACAAATTACATTATTTTATTCCAACTTGTGCGACACTTGTACAAAGGAGCGAAGGATGCTAGTTAACCTGAAATGACATTTACGCAATGAGTCAACACGATGGCTTCTCTATAGAATGTCGTTCGAATGAAATTAAAATCGTCCAGCCATCGGTACTTTTACCAGGCAGCAGGCGAGGTAATGTAAGCTACTACTATCGCTTCCGATAGGAGTGCGGGTAGGTTGGAACGAAGCCCCGGCCTCCTCGGTAACAGGGTTGACTATTCGCTTTGCTTCTTATTTGGCGGCTGCTGCCCTCTGCTTTTATGGAGGGGGTGAACCCAGAGCGGGGGACTACGCGCTATAAAGAGAGCGTTCCAAGCCCCATCACGATGTCCAGCACCGACCGCACTACCGTATGCGACCTGCGATCCCAGTGGTTGGCCTACAGCGAACTACTACTGTTACTACGGTGCCCGTACTGACGCAATACTGTCCAGCTTTGCTTGAGCTGGGCAGGGCAGGCCACTGTCTACCTCTGGACGGGCTCAACTTGCCGCCTCCGTCGGTTGCACGACCATCTGCCCGCTTGCCAGCTTGCCCAACCTCTGCTATTTTGGTATTCGCCCTTAAAACCTATGCGTGATGACCTGGCCTTCGGTGCTCCTGGAGCCTCTTTCGGGTCCTGTTGGCTACCCTCTCCCAGTTTCTTGTGTGGTGACCATACAGAGCAGCACAACGATACAGCAAACAGCCGAAACACGACACAGATTGAATAAGATAGGAACTCAACAAACCGCCGGTTTGATATCCGTTGTTCGTCTTCTCTTCTTAAGACTCCAGTAGTGATTGTTACGACATCTACTAAGACGTGATAGGTTTTCCCGCTATACGTACCCCAATAAGCCTTTACTTAATAGAGGCTGCCTCCAAGCGTAATGAAATGTGTGAGAGTACTAGGGACAAAGCGACAGCAAAAGCTAATTGCTACTACGATACGGAGTTTGAGCTAAGAAATACACAGGTGAGATAGAGAGGGCTAAACGAAGACAAAATTGCGTCATCGTGTTTGTCGAGATAGTACAGATGCATCGACTTTAACAGATTTATTAAGCTTAGATATTGAACGATACAGTATCTACGGGGCATTGACCTTTTCGCCTAATTTTCTTGCCGGCCCTCTTATCTTACAATAGAAGTAATTCACTTTTGCCACTTAAGAGTGACATAAACATTGATCTGTTTACGATTCCAAAAAATTCAGAACTTTTTCCTTTTTCAATTGCTTTTTCTTATGTGGAGTGCGTTCGATTATAAATTTGCTGGGCCTATTGCCTCGAAAGATTTGGTTTAACGATGAACTAAGCTAACAAAAAAAAAGTTAAAGATAACTTTTTTTTTTTTATCTTTAACCAGATGTTAAGGTACTACTACAATAATCTATTAGAGTTCTCGTTCACCGAATCAAGTTCTGAAGCTCATATCGGCTCAGCACTCAACAACGCTTTCTGCGAGTACTAGTATTTAGTAAGAGTACATTTTTCTATTTTGCAGTTTAAGCCTAAATGCATTTTTAGTAATTCGCATTCTCACATATCTTCCCACATGAAACAACTGGCTACATAAATCATTACCTCCTACCGTCGTACTTAATTTAATTTCTAGTAAGGATTTAAACCTTATACGGTACGCAGTAGCGACGTCGTCTTATTAGTTACATCGTAAGACATCTTACATTATGCACGGTGCGCGCATGGTGATACACTATTACGCGCTTATAAGGACTTGAAGCAATATGGCCGGTGATTGTTGTTGGGCAATTAAACCGTTGTAGGGTAGCTAGCGTCAGTGCGGTAGGAAGACTCTTTAGTCCTTCTGTTATTACCGGGCACCTTGCGTTCCGCCTGAACTCTAAAGAGGAGGAAGGACGTTCCTAAGGCCCGTGCATTGTCTTTTGTGAACAATGCTGAATAACTCCTTATCTTGACTTAATCCCTCTATTGTTATGCAGTAAGACGGCCGACGCTAACTTACGACTTTAGCGCCCCGTACACATGGTTCTTCAATCCTTAACTTTGAAGAGCGGACTTCGTCAACTTCTTTTACAAAGCATTTATTCAACTACCCTAACTCTTTCGTCGCTTTATATTAAGGAGAAAACAATTAAGCATTTTCTTATCAATGAAGTGGAAAGCAAAATCGCTCTTCTCTCCATTTTCGTCACGTATTTCCTACGATTTTATAAGACGTTAAACCAAAAGAAGACCAGTTTTTAGGTTGACGCCTAAAAATTATTGTAACGAAACTCAACACCTTCCTTTAACCTGACACTCGTCTGCACCTATCAATCTAATGAAACCTCATAAATAGTTATTTTTGCTGAAGAAGAAATGCATTTAACAAGGGCAATAACAGCGATTTTATCGTAAGAATTAGGTCTTTTCTGCTGAAAGATAGGTACGGTTCGGTGACCATTCTGAGAAACAACGGAAGAATACATTTGTGGAATACAACTAATCGAATTGAATCGGACATCCTTTATTGGCAGCGTGTTTTCCGCGCACATTTTGGTGTTCATGTCTACTTTCCCTTCTTACCGTACGTACTGTTTCCTGGAACTCCTTCGCTTCTTACCCTCTTCCAGGGAACCAGGTAGACGTTACCTTTTTGGGCGGGACAGAAGCACGTGAGTGCGTCAATTGATGAAAGCTATAAAATACTTCACACAACCTTATGTCGCGTTAAATCTTGTCTGGTCCTGTGAGCCGTTGGACCTCCTCTAAGGGCGGCGATGAAGCAGATTTGCAGTTAACACCTTGCCTCACTGACCCGTCACCGCCTTTCGTACTCTATACATACCGAAAGCTACATGTAGTGAATGGTGGTTGTTTGGCTCGATGGCCGTCGGTGGTGGGTTAGTCGGTAGTCGTTTAGCAAGTGAAAGAATGGCAGTCCATAACTGTAGCTTCGGAAACCTCTACTGACTGGCCTTGCCCCTGTCGTTAGCTAGTGATACACACATAAGCTATAGACACGCATATACACACACTGTTCATGTCATCGTTCCACTGGCATCGTTGGCGTTAGTGCCCATACGCCCACTCTCCGGACTCGTTTCTTGCTGTTTGCTTCTCTCTATTCTTGTTATCGTGAGAGGTTTACCCGCGCACAGATGTCTGAGATAACGTGTAGTCAGTAAGATTGTGGGGGCGGTTTGTATGTATGTTCTCTATGACCGTGTGCTAGGGTGCAACTGCAAGCAGTGTACGGCTTTGATTGCACGCGAAAGAACCTGTGTGTCAGTTTTGACCCATATTGGGGTTGTTGTCCTTTAGAGCAGCCCGGTAGGTCGGGCCACGCAGACACCTGTCGCCATAATCGACAAAGTGTGCTACTATTACCCAACCAGTCTCGAATGGCATCTAATGAAAAAGTGTTTGGTGCTGACAGGCTAAGTTCGTGTCAATTTGCTCAGACCAGATGCCGCAAACCCTCGTCATTTGGGATGTGTGGACGACGGCCAACTAGGGGTCGTAAGAGGTAAGGCAGCAGAAAGGGGCCGGATGCGGAAGGACAGGTGAAGACGTCGAAAGACCAGAGAAAAACTGTCATTGCGGAAGAAGCTTTCTGTAACACATATATTTAGTTTTCAATCGAAATAAACTTATATTATTATAAGTTTATTTCTTGTACAAGTCAGCCAAACATTTAGCCGGAGTAGGGGATGCTTAGCAATAGGGTTGAGGAAAGGTGCCAATATATTCTCTGAGGCACAAAAGGAGTTGCAGACTATTCAGTTGTCTCAGTCAAAAAAAGCTAAGTTGAACCTGCGTAAAAACACTTGATTGATTTTGAAACGTACTAAAACCGAACTATGTTTCTGGCCGTCATTCTTTCAAATGCTAAAATGTTAAAGAATTTTCTAGTATCTTTTTTGCTTCGAAAACAGCAATTGTAATGACCTTCGTCACATTTGTAAGTTTAGAAAATACTAAGTTTTTACAGTATTACTGTTACGGTCGCTGAAAACGTGTAAAAGACAGTACAAACAGAGCTAACTACTGTAATAAAGTAAAATAAATAAATAAAATAAAATAAATAAAATAAAAAAATAAAATTAAAAAAAAAAGTCAATTAGTTGCCTGGTCTAATAAATCCCAACATTTTAGCTTGTTAATAATATCTGTATGCCACACAAACTATGAGCAAAATGTTACTACTAGCTATTTCGTCAAAACACAATGATTTTTGCTTGTGATTCTTTTTGCTGAAAATTTGTTTATGTGTGGTACGAGTATCAGCTGTAATTTATTTTTCCTTTTGTGGATTTAAATAAAACTGTCATCTTGAACGAATTATAGAATCTCACCACTTATGCTGGTTTATGAAGATCAGGTGTATCTGTTTAAAGCGTTTGCCTGAAAAGGCGGCATTTCGAAGATGTAATTATGTAAATATGAAAAGGTAACACATGGTATCTTTAGTTTAGAAGAATTAAGTTAACAAAATATCTAAAAGACACGAAATTTTCATGTCTTTTTTAATGCATCAATATAAGCCATAAGACTATTGACGAAGTATTAAAGTAGATACCATCAAACTCGCTTTGACGGCTTTTTTTTTTTATATACGTATGTATATTTGATAGATGAACTTCCGTCTTTTGTCTGATAACACCATAATCCCATTACTGCAAGGTTTTTAAGCGAAAAATTATGACAATTTTTGCGTCCATCATTGAAACTAGTCCAGCATCACTGTCAAAGTTCTGTAAAAATCAGAACTGATGAAAGTCTGATCGTGCAGAATCGGTGCCATAAGGCGTACGCATGAAAATCTCCCATCCATTTTTCCAATTTTTGGTGGATTATTAAAAATGGATGTGGTTTGACATTGTCATGGTGGGCGACGACCCTCTCTGTTCACTAAATCCGGTCGATTTTTTTCCAGTAGCTTGTTGTAGTCTCGTTAGTTGTTGATAATAAAAGGCTGAATATCATTTTGTCAGACAACAGCAACACGTAATTCCTTTCCAATACCACACACGGCATCTCCTTTTTGGTGTCCACCTGGGCCTTGCCATAAATTGTAGAGTTTATTTTTTCTTATTTATTACCACCCCTGATAAACTGCTGTAGAAATGGGTTTATATCCGCGTTTTTGGGGATGGAAATATCACTGAATCGGTTCTTTCACGTAAATTCACGCATTACCCTAAAACATCGCGCTTTTTTTTGCAGCCACCTTATTCAAAGCTGCTAGATAGTTAATAGTTAGTTCCGTGGCGATATCGCAGTTGTATCCATTACGCTTAACTTTCGCAAGAACTTCATCAACTTTTTCCGTAACACGCATACTACTACGAACAGTATTTTTCACGTTGAAATTTCCAACGAACGAAAACGCATTTGGCTATAAACAGCAAGACGCATTTTAAAAATTTTTATATTTATAGGATTGTCGAGTAAAGCAAATTTTCGCGAAAGTTCCACATATTTTAATGGCGGCATTTTAGATAAAGTCAGATTGAAGGCATTACAGCAGTTTTAACACATTTACTACTGCCAAGTCTCCGTTTCCGGTCTTCCCCGAGGCGACCCCTACTACCTGATCTATGTAACTTGAGAAAGCTCCACAAGAACGGTCGATACTTTATATATAAACTCCACTTAGGATAGGGCATAGCAGGACAACGGTGGCGGTCACTCCACGTACTCTATTACCATCGCTTAGTATGTATGTACTCATTCTATTGAACTGGGCAAGCAGCGGCCAAAGGCTACTGGAAAGCAATGCATAAATACGGCGCACGTTAATCCCCGCGATAACAACTAATCAAACGGCATCTACAAATATATATGCAGGATCAACACTACTCACTAGCACCATCTATTTCTTTGTCATTCTCAAAAAAAGAGTGCCGTTTGTACCACCTGGCCCCAGCAATACAACGACACAATATGTATAGATCACAACACCATACGGTGCTCTGTATATAATGGTCAGTAACGCGACTTTTCCAACAGCTGTTTTCCCGGCTGGATATGTTTTGCTCTTGCTATTGCAGCGTGGTAAACTTTTTACAACCGGGTTGAGTCAATAATTGGCCGTGATAACATCGCCAACGAAACGGACTTTTGGCAAGTGGCGTTGACTGCCCAAATGAGGCACTTTGGCAATAGCACTTTGATAACATAGCGAAAATCCAGGGGATATATGTCCAAATCGATATTTGGTTGTGCGCCAAAGGTCACTTCCTTCGTCCTGACCTTCCAGGCCTTCGTCAAATAAAAAAAAATCCCAGTGATTCGATTAGTTTAACTGATATATTTAGCTCTCCACCGACCTCTTACCCATTTTGTATAATATGTATTGAAAACGCAATGCTTGTTTTCAAGTTAAACAGTCAGTTAAAGTTCATGCCACGTGCGTGATGTGCTGTACCTGCTTAGGATGTTTCTGTCCTATTTGATTTTCCCCATACAACGTATGTACGTATGCAAGTATCACGGAAGTTTATATCACCAGAGATTGTTATCTTACGATATTAAATAACACTTTGTGCAAAACACGGTAATAGGTACGCATCGTGCTATATATATCATATATAGCGCCGTAAAAAATAGCCGATATTCAGTAAAGATCTAGAACGTCTAGAAGAGCTTCGATTTAAAATACGACAAGCCAGTCTTCTAAGATACGTTACCCCGTGCATATATCACATTTGTTATAAACGTATATTAAGGAACATAGGCATAGAATGTTGACGTAGCAATCGCTCCAAGCAACATTGTTCAAATCGTTCACAGAATTGCGTGGGCAAAAATGAGTGCATCGGATATAGGTACTGTGTCTATAATGAGATGGTTATACCCACCCCGCGACACAGTATAGACAGAGTTTTTATCCAGATATTCGATTTCTATGCATGTAAAACCTGCTCTGAAAAAAGGACATTTTCATCACTCTTGAATTTTCATTGAAGAATGTGGTCATGCTTCAGTAGGCTACTGCGAATCATTGGGTTCTACTCACTGCTTCACTACTCACATAGTCGATCCACTGTCGTTCGGTCGCCTCTTGAAAAGGTTAAGTACCGGGGGCCGGTGGTTATGGCAGCATAGCTATCCTTTTGAGCTCTCCTGTGGATCTGGATTGGCGGCTTTTCGTCCAGGTGGAAAAAGCCATAGAAGAGGAACTTATAAAAGACTGTCACCATCGAGCCTAATCACAGATTATCTACAGTCTGAAGCAAAGTAGTACCTTTAATCTCTTCCAGGCGATATAGGCCAACACATAAAAAAAAACTTGCTAAAATCACTGAACTCTAAAGCCATTCGTCTCGCAAAGCTTTTAAGTCCATGCCAGAAAACTTCCGTTGTTTAATGTTAATTCAATATTTAACTAACTGGAGAACGCCTGAAGAAATAAGTTACACAAATAATACACTTACCTGAATGTTACTGCATCGATCGCGCTCAATTAAATTTGTTTTTGTTAATAAAACGCCGATGATTTAAACTTGTTTCCTGCTTTCTAAGCACTGAGTTTGAGTGTTAAAATTATGATATCAACCCGATTGTAAGAACCATTTACGTCGATTTCATTTGGTAACAGCGAGCACGTTCTAAGCGAAAAAAACATAATCGATAAAAACAAAGTTTTGCATTTTAGTTAAGATAATGTGTTGGGATAGTTCACTTCATCCTACCCAAGGTGGGAAATTATTAGACATACGCATAATTTGTTACGATGCATGTTGGCCTTGTAGGTGTCGCTTCAAAAGGCCTTTCCACCAACAAGCCCCAACTAGCTCGCTACGCTGCTGAAAGCATTGACATACAGACGGACCACGGTATTCGTCGTTGGCCCCAAAGCCAACTGCGGACTTAGTCGACGAGACTATTAGCGTCATGACGGCAAACGGTGTCGGTGAAGGGAGACTTCGTGTCACTAATAAGAGAAAACGCCGGCACTCGGAAGCCGGGGTCGTTAGAGCTTTGTCAGGCGCAAGGGGTGAAAAACACGGGAGCTTCCTGCGCATGTCGGTAGTCCACAGTCTTGCCCCTTCAATCACCACTATAACCAGCGGTGGGGCGAGCTTCCAACGAGCGGGCGCCTAACTCACTGGTGAAACGGGTTGGGAACGGCAACCTCACGGGCAGCAGCATGAAACGAAGCTGGCAGGCTGCCTGGCTGGCTGGCTGTCTGCTTGTATGAATGAGAGGCCCATTCTCTTACAAGCCCTATGTCTGACTTCTTTCTTATCCTCTTTTCACTTTTCCCCAGCTCACGGCATTTCCCGCTCATATTTCTCTCTTTCTCTCTCTCTCGAATTTCTACTACCTGCCCATTTCCTCCACTGCCCCCCGCTCGTGCATATTCACTTCGTGTTCGAGTGATCTGAAACGGAGGAGCTAGTCGAACCCACTGTGATGGCGTGATATATGCAAAGTATTGTTTGCTTACCCGTACGCATCTCGTTTCCCCATTTTCCAGTCTCCGCTAGTGCTCTGTTGCCTAACGGTCTCCAACAGTTGGATCGCCCCATCTTCCTATCCGATTACCGGCCATTCTCTGACGGTCTGCCGCTTCCCTGCCGATGGCACCGTTACCGCCGTTTACCGCCTTCCGCCCAATTCGCGAGTCCCTGGCTCGCCCCTCGAGTCATTGCTGTGTCCGCAGCCTCCAGCTGCGTTTGGTCATATTTACTTTGGGCATTAGCGGCTGGCTAAGATCAACGCTGCTGCCGTCGTTATTAGAGCTACCGTTTACTTCCATGAGCAAAGTCTGGTTTCCATAAACTGGCGGCTTCTGTTTGCCGCTCAGGCCAACAAGGGTTTCCAGGGTTTGCGGGGCTACTATAAAGCTTGGCACTTCCAAAAGATCTTCTACGACCTTTCCTCCTTGCGACAACCTTCGCCAACATCGTTTCTTTTTTTCCTATAGCCATAGAAGAACAAGGAGCTTAGACTGGTGAAGCTGAGCCTCGAAGACGTAATCCGAAGAAACAACGAACGTGTAATGTGTTGGGGAATGAGCCTGCCGAACACACAAAACTAAAACAGTGACAAACTTGCTATCGCTAGCTAGCTCCAGATTTATTGGAGGTCTCCTGTGAGAAGTAAAGACGAGACCTTGTGTTGGAATGTGCTGCAATCCGTCGTATCTAAATTCAAGCAGACATTAAGCCGTACGTGTCAGTTATTAGATAGCGGTTACTTTTGTTCTCTGATTATGCTGATTGTTCGCATGCAGTAATTTTATATGGAGCACTGATTATCGGAGAACCGTATGCAGAAAAAATGAACGTATTTTACCTTTCAGAGAACTTTCTCTGGTAAAGAAATACGAAGGAGATAGACGGTAATTTGATGACGGTCATGAGTTTTTATATCCATTGACGAATGGCGGAAAATATTGTAAAGTAAAACACTCAATTTTACCGCAGATATGTAGGCATTTTACTTTATTAACGTATCTAAAATATGTCTCTCAAAAACCACCACCTATAAGATGTCCGTATAATAAACCTTAATACCTATTGCTATAAGATAAGCAACGAAAATTGCTTAAAGAGGAGTAAACTAAATTGTAAAATAGCATCGAAAACATGTAGGTCTTATAATCTATGCCCCTGACCGTCGTTACAAGAAAATGTTTAACAAATCCTATGGCCGCACCATGTAATTACGTGAGATTTATTAAATTTACACTAGGTATTATAGCAATGCGATATGTGGGCAAAATTCTCTCAATAATAAAATACGAATGATACTTGGAGGCTTTGGCAGTCATTCTGTGGCCGGGCAATTTGCTAAATCAGCGATTACCATATAAACTACTCATTCATAGACGTCAGGAATTTTTAATGAATTCCGTCTATGGCGAACTTTGAAGTAACACTGCTCGTCGTACGAGTGTATGTGCGGTTCTTGAAGCGCTATGGAAAAATAGACTTAACACAGTTTAAAGAAGCCTCGAAATCAAGTAACCTAAAACACTAAGAAATTATTTGCGGAGCAATGACCTAAATTGACCCAGATAGTACTTCGTTTTTTCTGGCAAATTTCTATTGTGCCTTTACGTATATATCTAGGTGGAAAAGCAGAAAAGAATATCGAAAAAAAAATACGCGCCGGAAATAGTCAAAGAATGAGTTGACTGAAAGGACAGTACAAAAAGAAAACGACAACCATATTGCCTACCGTATAGTTGTACAAAACAGTATCTAGACAGAAATCCGGCATTAACAAGACGACTAACGGAACTCCAGTATCGGGAAATGCGCTGAAGTCATGCTAACGCACTCCAGATCGACATCCCCGAAGGCCGATTGACCTTTTACTATCAGTTTGGGACACCAAATGTAGCATGCAGTATGCAGGAGCGAAGTAAGTCTTACGATTCAAATGCATTCTTTGGGATCTCATGAAAATATTAAACTTGTTATACCACTTCTCAGGCTAATTGTTTTATCGACCAAATATACATTCTATATA